ACCATGACACCTAGTGTCCTACACAATATAGTGAGAAGACTTACTTGATCAAAGAGTTGAAATTTACTGCCCGAAGTCCAATGAGTCAACCACACGAACTGCCTAACCAAATAGATACTAAACCTTGTCTATAGCTCCAGACCCCTCAACTTGATTAAAAGTCAACTTGGTCAAGAAGCTAACTACCAATGGTCAAAGTAAACCATTGGTCAACCAGGTGCGCCACGTTCACTACAGGAAAAAATAGTCGAGATTCAAACGAAAACAATTGTGTATTAGTAAAAATCCACGGCGCGTCACGACCCTTTAAGAAACTTGTCGCGTTTGTCCAAACTTGACAACTAAATTTAACTTAATCCATTAAGTCCAAGCCTCTACTATTCATATCTAGATCTCCTTGATGTCTAAATGGATAAAGTTTTCAACTTTATCCATTAAGACATCTCAAACAAACTAGATCTAAAACCCTAATCTCTAAAATATCCAAGATAACATTTTTCTTCGTGTATGGAGTCAAGAGAGCCCTTGCATGCACTATCTAAAATATCCAGGATATCACTTTTCTTCATGGAGAATCATTTGCCACCGTCTTAACTTCTCACCTATCCTTTCTAAAGATTGAACCTTATGCGTCTTCCAAATCATCTAGAAAGTAGTATAAATGATCGCCACATCCAATTTCTTCTTATTCTTTCCGCCTAAAACCGAATTGAGAAACTCCATCAGATGCATCAAAGAAGAAGGTTGTACTCTAATAATGCCAGACCATCTGATCAGTCAATTCCACACATCCATAGCAAAGATACATGATATGAAGACATGCTCAAAGCTCTCCTTAACAAAGTTACATAATGAATAAAGGTGTGAAGACATGTTAATGCCTCTTTTGATTAGATTCTGATACGTGAGTAACTTATCTTTAAACAACCCTCAAACGAAGCAATTGCTACCTCCGTCCTAAATTGATAGTCCACCGTTGACTTTTGAAGTCTTTTTTCTTCAATTTTGACCTTAAATATTTTTGTTTTTGATATATAGTACTTGGTACAAAATGTATGAATGGATTGTATTTTAAATGTTCTTTCATTATTATAAGTTTTATCAAGTAATATATAGCATAAATAAAAATATATAAGGTCAAAGTTGATGAAAAAAAACTTCAAAAATCAAAAGTGGACTATCAATTTGGACCGATGGAGTAATTTTTAAAGGAAGCTAATTAACCCAACTGCAAATCATTACCTCCTTAGAACCGATATCATTAATAATATATTTCAAATATTTTACCGAGAATGCCACTATAGTTTGTGGCGGAGCTAAAAATTTTTACATGGGATACAAAAATTATCAATAAATATTCTATGTAGTTATCCTATTCCGAACATTAAAAAAACATGATATAATCTCTTTAGCTGGGGGTACATTATCATAGAACATGTTTACAAATAATTTTTTTTATATACATAAAACAATTTTTTGGGGGTGTTGTAGTACCCTCAACGCCTCATCTAGCTCCGCCATTGCCTGTAGTGTCACCCATCCACCCCATGCCGAGTCATCCATCCACAACTATTTGTCACATCCCCTGCAAAACTAGATATTGTCGATCATAATTGAAAGGTTTGTAAACTCAAGCATCTTGCTTCCACTTCTTTAAGTGCCAAGACCAATAATAATTCCACTGCTAACCCAAATCAGCCCCTCCGATGTACCTACCCATAGCCATACAGTCAGGGGCGTAGCTACATACACTTAAGGTAGGTCCTAGGACCTACCTTTTTTCCTTTTTAATACAATAATTTTATATAAAAAAACATAAGGAACTATCTTATTTTTGCCAAAAAAAACCTACATTTTCATACTTTTTTCCATTTCATCTATATAAGGAACCACGTTGATTTTGGTTCTATATTCGCCACTGAATACATTCTTTGTTTTTCTCAACCGAACCTTGGGAAAGAGTGATTTTAAAGAGTAGTTTCCATGAATTGCTAAAATAAGAAGTATATTAAGAATGACAATTAAGTAGTAATTGCATAATAGCTTAGGGGCTGTTCGCATCTGCTACAAAACACATTATTGTGTTTATTGCATGAAAGTAACAAGTTATTGCGTGAAATATTATATCACTACATTATTTATAGTTATGATCATATATTTATTTTGTTACACGATTTACTAAAAAATATATATGGATATTTTAAAGGAAAGTGTACTGATTGGGGTGTCGAAGATGCCCATAATTGTCGCTTATAGACAACTTGCTTTCAGATATTTTATCCAAAAGACGGAAAGACCAAAATCTATTATCCGCCGTAAGCCTCCATTGAGAAGATGCATAAAGTGAAAAAAAATAATTGGACTAAATTTAAGAAAGAGTAAATGAAATGATTCCTTGTTGTAAGTGCGGATATGAATGTTTAGTATTGATTTTTTAAAATAATTTGAACCATTTTTAATATGTTTACATGTTTAGTCCTAAAAGACGGTTTTTTTTTCCTTAGTTTAGTCCTTATTATATCTGAAATAATCATAATATCCTTATGTAATTATATATATATATATATATATATATATATATATATATATATATATATATATATATATATATATATATATATATATATTATTTATAACAATTAAAGAAATAAATAGACCCACTCCCACCACCGCTATCCTCACATCATCATGTTCGCTTTTAAACTCTAGAGAGCACAGAGCAGGCCACCAATCTCATTCTCTCTGTATCTCTTTCATCCAAAATCATCATCCTTCGAGGATCATCACCTCACGGTGTCATCAGCTCTGACAACCATGAAGAAACCCCTCAAAATCGAAAAATCTAACCTCAGAATTTTTATATTTGATCTCAAAAAGACCCTTATATATATATATATATATATATATATATATATATATATATATATATATATATATATATATATATATATATATATATATATATATATATATATATGGCTATAAACGAACCAAACGAACACGAACAAGGCCTTGTTCATGTTCGTTCGTTTAAGTTAGCCGAACAACAAACGAACACGAACGGATAAACGAACGATATTTTCTTGTTCATGTTCGTTCGTTTAACAAATTACTTTGTTCATGTTCGTTCATTTATGTTCGTGAACATGCTAAACGAACATAAACGAACAAAGATAAAAAAAAAACACAATTAAACATATATGAACATAAACGAACATATAATATAGCAATATAATAAAAAATAATTGAATATAGATGAATATAAATAAACTTAAACGAATGAACATAAACGAACATAAATGAACATCATAAACGAACGTTCACGAACATAAATGAACGAACGAGATCATTGTTCATGTTCGTTCATTTAACTAAACGAACGATAATTTTTGTTCATGTTTGTTTATTTATTAAATAAACGAACATAAACGAACTTCCCGCCGAACAGTTCAGTTCGTTTACACCCCTATATATATATATATATATATATATATATATATATATATATATATATATATATATATATATATATATATATATATATATATATATATATATATATATATATATATATAACTTAACCAAATTAGTTTTTATAAGTTTACTCATTTATTTGTAGAGAAAAAAAAACTTATATATTTACATTTGTTTTCATTATAATAAATATGTAAAAGTAAAAATAGAATAATTTAAAAGGCGAGTGTCTAAGAAGATTCAAACATGATATGAAGGCCCACCTTCATTTGTCCAATTACGAACCTACCTTAAATCACGGATCCCTACTGTTTTAATATACATTTTGGGTACCATATCATATGTTTTAAACTACTAATAAATGTTTCGAAATTTGTATATGAATCATTAGGTTGGATATTCAATTTAATGGCAATCGTTGAAAAGATATATATAGTTAAACCTTTATATAGTTAAAAAAAAAAAAAAAAAAAAAAAAAAAAAAAAAAAAAAAACGTAATAGTTTTATATGTATATAAGATGAAATAATGTGATTTTAATTGTTCATCGAGTTGTTATGAGTTATGACTATCGGTAACTAATGAAATTACTTTGGTCAACAAACATTGTTAAAACCTACAATCTAACCTTTTATTAATATCACATAAAAGAAAAAAAAAAATCACTATACAAAATGCTTACCTCTTTGTCATATATTACGACTTTCAATAAACTTGTAAAGTCAGTTGCATGTATTTCTCTATATCAATATATACTTAATGAATTTAATAAATTAAGTATTTAATATGGATGATTACGTATGTTTGATTCTTTTCATAATAACTTAATAAGTCAACCTTGATATATTAAGACACTATTACACTAATCTGTTCATCTATTTGTCAATTTTATATCTCTCTGTCATCTCATTTTAATTGATGAGTATTTTAAAATTGATTATATTATGAAAATTGTTCTATAGAAGGTAAGGATATATACTTGTTATGTAATCTCATTCAGAACGATTTATGTAATTAAAAAGAAACATAACTTTTGTATACAGCATTTTTATCTAAATAGACACCATTATATATTAACCATTTTTTCCATATAAGTTGGAAAAAAACATCCCGTTAATCTTGTAATGATAATAATAAACAAATAGTTTCTGATTTTCCAAAACTACAACATTTAAAGTTTTAATAAAACTTTTATAGAATTTATATGATTTTCTTATAAAGATTTAAGAAATTCTCTATTGATGAAGTCACGTACTTCAGTATTCAAATCTTCTGGCCAATCATATCATAGCTTTTGAAGATTCCAAAGGCAAAACCAATAATGGAGATGGTAGTGAGTTCGTTGACCATTGGTCCATTGTGCATAATAATACATACACCATATACGCAATATTTATTTGATATATTAGAACATGCTTTAATAAAAGTAATCTTGTCACTACATGTTTGTTTTAAGGATAATGATTAGAAAGGTTAAGCTATTTTTAAATTTATCATATTTCGTCAATAATTTTTCTTTTATGTTTTATTAACCCTTTAACTTGTTGAATTGTATAAATGTTCCCCTTCCGACTGCTTTTAGCCGGTTTCAATGGTACTGTGTATCCTATGTGTTAGTTTTATCTTATGTGGCGAATGAGGTGACATGTAGGGCTAATGTTATTAAAAAAGGGACATGGATGGTTTGTGTCCTAATCCCCCGATGGCTTCCTCCTCCTGTTTCTCATCATCCCTCAATCGATCAAGCATGAAATCAATAGTGAACAATCCAAAAGCTTGTGATTGTGGTTCCATGCATTATTCTAACCTCAATGAGGTAAGCAATTTCATTTGAATCTTCCCCCTTTACTATTCGTTATTCCTGATTTGATTTCTCTTTTTGAATCGTTTGTTTTGAAGGGTAAATGCAAATATTGGAGGTGGTTGGATGTAGAACCTGTACATATGTCTCTAAAGGATGTGGTGGAGGAAATGAATGTTGAATTAGTAGCATTGAAGACACGAATAGAGAAGGTGAAGGAAGACATGGAACAAATGAAAAAGGAACAATATTCTTATGCCATTGCAATGAAGAAAAAATTATATAAGTTTACCATAAGATTTCTTTTTTTGATCATTGCGTATATGATGAAATGATGCACTGTAACTTGTTGTTTGAATGGAATGGAGTCATTATCTTAAGTTGTTGTTTGAATGGAATGGAATCAGGAAATAATAGCTTCTTTGAATGGAATGTAATCAGTGAAACAACAATTAAGTACATATAACAATGAATTAATTTAGCATTGAATGGAATCAAGAAAAGTAGCTTCTTTTAATGGAATGGAATTAGTTTAATACATATAACAAATAACTAATTTAAAATGGTGGTTGGATTCATTGAAAGACTACATTACTATTCAAAATTAAATAAGTACTTGTCTAGGTAATGCAATACCATATGTCCACACATCCAATTGACAGTACAATAGAAAAACAAAATAAAAAGGCCAGTAGATATTCTTTGCATCACAAAAGATGTTCCCATCCACCCACTACCTACCCATTAACTTAGTCAATAACTAAAGGGTTCTCTACATTGGTCCCAGCCCCAACCCTTAATGCAAGTTTGATGATCCGTTTAAAATATTGCCTTCATCCACTTCGACCAATTGTGTGACAACTGTCAATTTTAGGCCAAACAAAGTCAACAAGTCAACCAAATCAACTCTACTAGTATTAGAATTTTAGGATAAACGTTATGTTTCCTAATGTTCCTAATGTACAACTTACAAGTATTAATACAAAGTACTTCTCTTTTTACCAATTATCAAATATAAACCCTAATTAGGGTTATTATTGTAACAACACGATAATTCAGCTATATATTATTTGGGAATAAATACTACATGTAACAAAAAGTAGTAAAGTTTATAAACCTAACACTACGTGGCAAATTCATAACAAAGGTGTAATGCCCGTATATCCGGGCTAGTTAATTTAGAGGCAATAATCTCAACCAAGTTGTAGTATATGTTACAAGGTTTCTGTACATATAAAGAACGCCGGAATCCGAGTTATAACGAAGAAGTTATGACCCGTCAAAGTTTTACGGCAAAACCGACACGACACCGGGAAGCGTAAATAGTGAATTTGCGATAGAGCGAGTTTTAGCCTTAGTGATCTAAACTAAAGTCATAGAATTCGTTAAACCAAGAGCGTCCATAAAAAGAACGCCCAAATCTGACTTCGCATGAGGAAGTTATGATTTTTCGAAGTTTCGGTTTAGCAGTATACAACCCGAGGTTCGAATATTAGATCGAGCGGTTATTAGCGAACACGACCTAAATGAGAATCGAAGATCTCGTTATTTGTAGCGTAACGATAAAAAGACAGACAAAAACGGACGTCCGATGAAGAAGTTATGAAATTTTAATGGACCAATCATGTCCCGGCCTGTTAATAATATAACTTTTAAAATAAAGTCAAAATTAGCCGACGGAGTCGAAAAGAAAGTTGTAGAGTACGTTCCCACCTTGCGTGGATATAAAGAACGTCAAAAACGGAGCTCGTACGCGAAAGTTACGAATTTTTAAAGTTTGTAGTCGAATTTGCGAGACCTGATGCAAAAGTGATGACGTGGCAGCCTCAGGGCCGTCCATCGCTGATCGGAGGATCGCATTGGAGGAGGATAGGTCGCCCCTCGCTACACCCCGCGTACGAGGCCAAGTACATGCAACGTACTTCGGTTCTTATCCTTTCCGAATACGAGAAAACTGGATCCGCCTGGCACCCTTATCCGAAGCCTACGCCCCGCGTAGACTGCTGGACGCCCAGCGTAACCGAGGCTGCTGGCCCCTATAAATAGATGCGAACGGTTCCGAGTTTTTCACACCTTTCTTCACTCTCTCTTTCTCTAAGATATTTCTCTCTCAAGAGTTCTAAACCCCCCTAAAACCTAGGTAAAACCCTATCACCTAAAGGAAGCCCCGAGGCTTCCAGAGTCCCGAGAAAAAGGGTCTTTCGGTTTCGAGACACTGCTCCGAGCGAAGCCCCGGTTTTCAATAAAACCTGTTGTAAGCGAGCTATGCCTACGCAATTTTTAATATAGCTTCTAATTAATTATAGTAACATTATTAGGACCTTAAAATAATTATTTGGGCTATTATTATGAGTTATATAGTGTTTTTTAATGCTTATATAACAATAATAATAATAATAACAGATAGACTATTAAATTAGTCTTGGTGAATATTAAACTAAACCCTAATGGTAATGATACTAGGTTTTGTTGAAGAAAATTGTTTTAAGAGTCACGAAGTACTATCCGAGGACCGAGTCACCACCGTATCAAGTGAGTGCATAGTTACTTTCAGCTTCCACATAGATATGAAGTATTTTATATAAATTACGTGCTATGTGTGCATATTATCTGAATACTTGCTATCTATGCTGGATGAACAATTTTATACATGTTTTAAATGATTTAAATTGTATATGTATTTTATATCTACGGTAATGTTGGGGTAAAACATGGGTATATGTAATACATGGAGTATGAGTTGGATGATGAGTTGAGAGGTGAAATAGACCGTGAGGTGAGGGTAAGAGGTGGACGATGTGAGAAGTCTTTTTCCCAAATGATGGCCCCGTCATTCAGCAGAGTATGGATGACAACCACGGACTCTTTTTGACCGTCCAGTGGAACACTAGTAGGCTCGCAACCTGTAGGTGTTATGAACGATGTGTTCACCCGGTGTACTCTAAACCCTGGTGATCATGCAGACTTGATGCCTAAACCCTGGTGATCATGCAGACTTGATGCCTAAACCTTGGTGATCATGCAGACTTGATGCCTAAACCTTGGTGATCATGCAGACTTGATTCATAAACTTTGGTGACTATGCAGACTTAGTGCCCGTTGTGTAAACCATGGCAACGATTGACTTCATGTCGATTCCTTAGGATGATCCTTAGGAATGAATGATCGAGAAATAGCTGGTTCTTAGGGTAGATCCTTAAGAATAAAGAAGATAATGGGGATGGGTAATTGGGTTAACTGTTTGATAATTAAAAATAATAATTATATTATTGTGGGTTGAAAACCCTATGTACTCACCAGGTTTCCCAACCTGACCCACTCAGTTTATTTATATCACAGGTGATGATGTGAAGTTACCTTACACTGAGAGATTAAGGAGATATAGATAACTAGTGATAATGAATGTAAGTTCTGTTTATGCTTATGTTTCTGTATTGACGATGACATCCCAAATGTTTTAAAACGAATTAAAAATACTTTTCTTCGGAAATGCTTTGATAACGTATTTATCATGTTTTACTGGGAACATATTCCGCAACATTTTTATTAAAAGAGGTACACTGATTTTTATAAAGCATAAACAAAAATCGGTCTTTTTCTAGCCGTGAAAATGGGGATGTCACAGTTGTTATCAGAACATTAGTTTAAGCGAACTAGGAATATGAATTTATTTCTAGACTTAAACTTAGAATGCTAAGTGATGATTGTGAGGAGTATGTCTAATAGATTGAGGTAACACACCTGAATAGACACAAGCACCAGCTTATTTTAGGAATGATGCCTAAATTACTTTTACGTGCTAAATGATTTGTTATGCTATCGTTTGATCGGATCTATGGTCTGTTGCCGACCGGATCTGGAATCCTTATGTGTTTAGGATTCTAAATGTATGAATACGATATTAGAAGTAGCCTATAAACGTTTCGGAGTGATATGGATGATTTAAACGTCAATCCTAAATAAAGAACTAGATTCACCTTATTCAGTGTATAGATCAAGATGGCAAGGACCCGTAGCGGAAACGTGAATGCAAATGGGAATAGGAATCAACCGCTGGTGATTCAGCAAATACCTGTTGTGGTACCCACACTCGAGCCAATCACAATGGCTGGATTACAAGCCATGATACGGGCTATGTTGGCTGAACAAAGGGAAGAGATGAGATAGACGTTCCTCGAAAATAGGGATGAGCCTACCATTCCCGTTGAACAACCCGAGCTGATTCCCGAGCAATTGGAGGCAGGGAACAATAGCCACCATGTGAGTCAATTTGGGACTCAAGGTAAACGAAGGGATGACCCGAAGAGGAGAAATGACAAGGATGGGCGGATGTACAAGAATTTCTTGGGTGCGAAACCACCGAGTCTCTCAACAAACCCGAAGCCGGTTGAGATTATGGATTGGATCTCCGAGATGGAGATGGTGTTTGAGAGTTGCAGCTGCAGCAAGACACAGAAGACTGTATTCGCAGTAAGATAGCTGAAAACAGGAGTCTTGAGCTGGTGGAAGCTATTGGCAGATACGATGTCACGAGGAGAAGCCCTAAGGATGTCATGGGAAGAATTTTTGGAACAGTTGAAAATGCAGTACTGCTCAGAGATAGATCTGATAGACCTAAACAACGAGTTTCAAAACCTGAAGAAATGGAAGATGAGTGTTGATGAGTATGCCACTGCATTCACCGAGAGGATGAAGCTATTTCCCTACTTGGTTCCTACTGAACTCTCTAAGATTGATAGGTTTGCTAACGGACTGCCCACTGACTTTCGCCCAATGGTCAAAATGGAAACTACCTTGAAAACAGCTGTTAGGGCAGCTAAGAATGTAGAGACCCATATAAGAGAAAAGGGTCTAGAAAAAGACAAGGCATGAGAAAAAAGGAATAATGAAGGATATTCAAAATTCAACAAAGAAAGGAAATTCTCAAAGACTGAAGAAGGAGGAGGAGGTGAAGCCAAGTGGTGCGAGAAGTGTAAAAAGAAGCACTTCGGGAAATGTAGCGAGGAGGTGACTTGCTACAAATGTGGAAAGACAGGGCATTACACCATCAAGTGTGCGTCCAAAAAGAAGGTGTGCTATGGATGTAACATAGAAGGGCATATTTCTAGGGACTGCCCAAAGAAAAATGAGGCAGCAAGACCAAACACATCACCAAGGCCAAGGGCATTCCACATGATCCTCGACGAAGGAAAAAACCATGCGAGGAACCAAGCATTAGGAATTCATACCCGAGGATCAAGTTATGAAGTAACCAAGGGGATAGAATCATATGATGTAGCCTATTAGAGGCATAGTCTAGGGTGAACTTGAACACCTATGTAATAGTTTCAGGAAA